AATTATTGACACTTCCCTTGTAATAATTTGAAAGATTAAAAACAATTAAGATATAATGTAGTGTATATTTGAATTAATATCTATTTGTCACAAAGAGTAGAATTAAAAGGAAGGTATAAATTATATTTTCAAATTATATATATTCAGTTTGATATTGTTCAGTTTTGAAAAAACACTAGACAGTATTGAATTAATCAATTTCTAATATTTATTATTATCAAAATACTAAAATATCAATTAAATGAAGTTACAACATTTGATTCATTTAAATAATGAAATGAATAAAAAGACTAAACAAATTAGTTTATTATTTTTCTTTTTGTGAAAATCTTTATATCTTAAAGTAATGTTTATTTTGATTATTGATTCATGAAATAAAAAATAATATATAGAATAGAACAACGTCATGAAACATCTTTACTGTATGAAGTTAGACAAAATTATTAAAAAACATATTAAGTGGATTGTTCACAAGAATTGGACTCACAAATAAATGTATCAAATTCTGTGATGATTAACAATATTTTTTCTTTTTTCAAATCAAAAATGAAGAAAAGATGATGTACTAAACAAAAGATAACAAAAATGATTAAAAAAGTATCTTTAATTCAAAGAATTAGAAACTGTTATTAACAGAGGAGCATGTCAAGGAAGAAATAAATATATTCAATTTTATTGCTGCTTTTTCTTTCTTGTCTTTTTCTCTAATAAGTTTTCTTTAAGAGAGATGTTCTGTATTGAGTATATTAGAAAGAAATAATAAACTAGATTTCAAATTGAACAAAATTATGGTTAAGATTATTCATTTGATCTTTTAGTTGACAAACAGCATCATTTGAATGACCACATTGTTCTAACAATTTAATAATTTCTAAATTTTTCTGTTTAACTTCTTGGTATTTATGATAGAGAATTTCATATTGTTCTTTTTCAAAAACAAAATCTTCTTTAAATCTTTTCTTTGACTTTCTTACTGTTTCTTTATTTCTGATTCTCTTATCAATTTTTTTAATTAAAAGGATTTCTTGTTGTGATAATGGCATCTCTCTTTTCTTAACTTCTTTCAAATAACACCTAAACTCTATTTTTGACATTTTTGTAAGGATTTTCTCAGGTAATAATCTAGTATAATCCACATCAATAATCTTTTGGTCAGATAATCGATAGATCTTATAATTAAATGCAGATGCAATCTTGGTCATTTGACAGTGTTGAGATGATTGTTAATCATTAGATCTTTTCTCTTGATTTTCTCTCCTGAACTATTCGCTATTAGCTTTTCTTATATAGATTTATAATTTCTTTTTCTCTAAAAATAGTGATCGGTCTGTGAGTTGTTCACAATTAGTACTATTCTTTTTAGTTTCTTAAACTATTATTTATAATTTATCCTTTTCTACAAAAGCGTTATGGTGAGTAGACAATTACTTGTTTTCCTAGTTCTTTCTAATCTCTAAATTATTGATTGGTCATTTAGGAAGACAATTTATTTAACCAATTGTGCGAAGAATCTTATTTGATTCCAACACTGAACGAAAAATTAAAATAACCTTTGTTATTGTTATTTTTGTTATATATAACATCCATCTATTCTCTTTTGTCTTTACTCACAAATTTTCTTTTCTTAACATTATAACAAATACTTTTACTGTGTGTTTAATTCATTTAAAAAAATATATTATATCAATCTCTCTCAACTCTTTCTTTTATTTGTACCAATAATTATTATTTTGTTAACAACTCATTTATACATATGTTAATATCATCAATTAAAAACATACTTTTCAAACAATATCTATTTTCTTGCTTTTATATTCTCTCCAAGTGGTTTATGTAATAGTCTAGATCAATACAACTCTTTTGAATAAGTATGAATTAGCTCAAACAATTAGAAACTTTATCTATATTCAAGAAATAAGTTAAAATAATTCTTAACCAAGAATGTGTTGATATTTTTTTTAGTCTATTTTCTTCTCTTTGAATTTATCTAACAATGAGAGTTGTATTTATTTACAGTACTTAAAAAAAACAACAAA